AATGGGTAAGTGAATTGGATCCTATGGATACATGAATTGGTCTCAATAGGTAAATGAATTGGACACTTTCAGAAGGGGTAACCATAACCTGGCGTGTTTTACAGCTATTCCAATACTTAAGCACACCTTTCCTGAAAGGTTGGAAGTAACAATGCCTTGTCATTAAGTTTGGTATTCATGTCAAACTATACTAGTACTGAAACGGTTCGCATGTGCGTATACTTGCACGCGCATGGAGATTTGTGTCGTTACATCATAGATTTAAACAACTTTGCCAACCAGTGGTAGTAATGTGCGTGTGCCTGCCTTATTTTCGTTCTATAAATTACAGGTGTAATTTTTTTCATGCCCCTTTCACATCTGAAATATGATTTTGTAAGTTCACAACACATTCTCTAACTTTCACAATGCAAATAACCTGCCAAACAAATGGAAATAGTTTGAAATCAATTTCAGTGATATTTCCACATCACATTTCACAGGCCAGGTGTAACAGGGACATAAAAATGTCACGCGTTTGGACCCTGAATTCATAGAATGACCCAGGTGCCAACAAATTGCAACTAAATGATAAAATGGAGTGACAGTATACCGCTAGTCAAGTGTATATGGATTGTGTGGGCGGCGCCTAAGTCATGGCACACTTGCCAATAAAAGAGCACCAAACCACCCACAGGTTATAATGTTTGTTTGAAGAACTTTCTGCTGAGTGATTGCCCACGTTGATTTTCAGGTCCCCAAACTATTTGTAATGCTAACTCAGCCCACTGGCACCTTATAGTCAATGTACATGTAAGAACAACATGCGTTCCAGACTTTCAGTATTCAGTATTTTTTGTAAAAAATGATGTGTCCTAATCAACACAATCACAAGTATCATATACAAGTGTTTTTACCTTCATTGATCTCCTTTGTCAATGCACACAGAGTGAAGAATTTTTTCTGCACGTCTAAGTTCATAATTTAGGCTGTGTCCAAATTAAGTTACAGCTCTATTGGACGCACATCTCCACGTATTTCCAATGGAGTAAAGACCTAGCTCTAAGCAACTGATTCGGATACAGCTCAAGTTTTTGCCTGGTTCACCCTTTGTAGGTAAACCCAAAGTCTTCATCATTCAAGCATGCAGGAAACCAGCTGACTCACCCGATGACATGATGGAAGATCAGAGCAGGCGCTCACTTGCTGACAGCGAGCTAGGTCCATCTCGCCACACACGTCCCAAAAATGCTGATGTGCTGATATCCTACGCCACAACGAAAGGTACAATGTAGGATGTGTGTTTATGTCCAGTATGCTGCATTCATCAGACAGTCTCTCAATAGGAGACTTTCTCTGCATGGTCTTGGGTCCAGGAGCTGATATGCATGTAAACAAGAATATAAGAACTGAACTGAATCTGCTTGCCCTGACGAAGGTACTCAGTTACCGAAAGCTCGGTAATTATATATTTCAGAGCACTGATTTAATCTCGTATTCTTGTTGATATTCTGATCACGGTGCTTCCATATTTCGCTGATATACATGTATCTTACACCTACAGTGTATACCAGGATGCAGGTGTAATCATACAGACAGATTCTGCTATATTTGGTTGGTTTTCTGCTGTTACCCACATTGTCATTGGAAAGAAACTTGCAAAAAGTTCCAACCATTTGGGATGGAAATGAAATTGGTTTCTTGCTTGAAAAACAGAGCTTTCTAGGGCTCTTTTTCATATTTAGCCTGCATGATAGTTCACACTTGAAGCAGGTCTTGGGTTAGGTGCAGTGTTTACACGCTGAAGTGCTAAGGCCATTAGCATTTATGTGGACAAAACGATTGGTCAGGGAAAGTCATGCTTATTGAATTCTGCATTAAGCATTTCATTTCTTTTGCATTTCATTTAAAAGCCTGTTTCTGAAGAAGCTGTTCTTCTGCCTTTTTTAGGCACCAAGGCGTGGCGGAATGAAGAGAAAGGCTCCTGGTTCATCCATCACTTCTGCAAAGTCGTCCAAAAGTGGCACGAGACGGAATACCTGACAGATCTTCTGCTGAGGGTCAATGACAAAATATCTCGGATGGAGTTCACAGAAGAGCAGAGCGATGCTCCAGCAGGGGAAAGTGATCCCATAAAGCAGATGCCTTGTCAGATCTGCACCCTGACCAAACACGTCAAACTGTGAACCTCTAATCTTAACCAGCATTGGGATTTATCAAGGTAGCTTGGTTTAGAATTGAATAGCTTGGTCAGCAGTATATTTGGATGAAAGGGAAGCTCAGAGGAATTGATCTCCTTCATGTTCGTTGTAGTCCTTACGGATAGATAGGTTACCAAAGTGTGACGTCATTTGAAACAAGGAAATGTACGTAGTGCAAACAAAAGGAGTTTGTGTGCAAGTCGGTTCACACGGTGGTTCTCTTGCTAATGCCTTTAACACACAATTGTGCATGTTAGGTATTCACTTTGGTACTCTGTAGACAGACCCACTGACGTTTCACTGGGCATTCCTGGAGGCCCCCTTAAATGGCAATAAGCACTGTGTTTGGATTTGTACCAAGCAACTGTCAGGGCAC